CGTATTAGGGTAACACTAAAATGGAGAGATCGATATGGTCTACTTTGCCACCTGGCAGCGATTTAATTGCTAAATATTTATTAACTTGAAATCTCAATTTATATAAACAGTAAACAAAATTACACTCCTAAAATCTTTTTGCTTTGAAAACCACTATAAAACAAGTTTCAAACACACCTCGAGAACGAAAGCACTTACAAAGCCTTACAAACATTTCCTATTATGGCAATATTGTGACAAACATGATATTGTTTCCTCAGATAAGACCCATGCATAGATACTAGCTGCCAAACAATGCTTCAAACTAGTAAATGATCAATTTGAATAATATTTTTGGCAAATAATGTTTTGATAACAACAAAATTACATTTGTATAGTGCCTTTCATGTCGGAAGGACGTCCCAAGGTGCTGGACAATCAGTGTTTCGGACGCGAGCTGGGGGTTGGGATCAGGGAGGGTGGAAGGCAGGAGGAGAAGAAGGGTTACCGAATGCACGGTCAATGAGGAGGGTCTTGAGACGGGTCTTGAAGGAGGCATGGAGGGAATGGAGACAGAGGGACAGCGCAATGGAGTTCCAGAGTGTGGGGCAGAGTGGCTGAAGTCTTACTTGCCTGCCAATGGTGGGGCGGGCGAGGAGGAGGGAGCGGCCAGGTTAGTAGGGGCTTAGAACGTTGCAGAGGTAAGGGGGAGCAAGACCATGGAGGGCTTTGAAAGTGAGGACCTGGATCTTCAACTGTATCCTCTGTGTGATGAGAAGTCAGTGGAGTCGGGCGAGGATGGGAGTGATAGGATCACGGAGCCTGGTGCTGGAGAGGACACTGACTGCAGAGTTCTGGGTGATCTGCAGCCTATGGAAGGAGGAGATGCTTCGCAGCTTCGCTCTTTCCTCTTCTCCCACTCCCTGCATGAATCCCTCCAATCGGATTTCCGTGCTGCCCACAACACTTATGTGGAGTCCTGTAGCTCAGTGGTTAGAGCACTCGCTTTGCAAGTGAGAGACCTGAGTTCAATTCCAGGCAGGGTGAAACCTTGGGCAAGTTTCCTTACTCCACACAGAGCCTAATAATAATCCCTTCAAAAAACCCCAAAAAAACAATAATTAATTGGTCATTTTCAATCTACGACTGTTTGTGGGACATTGCTGTGCGCAATTGGCTGCCGCGTTCGCCCACAAATATACAGTCAATTCACTTTGCAGTATGTTCTGTGAAGCGCTTTGGGACGTCCTCCCGACGTGAAAAGCGCTATATCAAATGCAAGGATTATTATTATTATAACACGGAAACTGTTCTGGTCAAGTCACAAATGACATCCTGACCATGTGTGGCCAGCTCTCCCTCTGCCTCCTCGTCCGCTCCGCTCCTTTGACACTGTGGACCATTCAATCCTCCTCCACCGCCTCTCCTCCCACCTCAACCTTCAAGGTTCTGTCCTTGACTGGTTCAGGTCCTACCTTTCACACTGCCTCCACTTCGTCACATGCGGTGTTCCTCAGTGCTCTGTCCTCGGTCCCCTCCTCTTCACCCTCTACGTGCTCCCTCTTGGTGACATCATCCGCAGACATGGGGTAAATTTCCACATGTATGCGGATGACACCCAACTCTATCTCTTTGCCTCCACCCTGAACTCCAGGACGGGGTCCTGACCAACTGCCTGTCCAACATCAAGTCCTAGAGGAGGGACAACTTTCTCCAACTCAACGTTAGCAACACTGAGGCCCTCCTGATTGGCTCGTGCCAGCGTCTCTGCACCTCAGGCGCTGGCAGCATCAGCATCTATGGCTCCACAGTCAACCTCACTAAGCCAGTCAGGAACCTGGGTGTCTTGTTTGACCCTGAACTGTCCTTTCTCCCCCACATCCGAGACATGACCGACAATGCCTACCACCACCTCCACAACATTGCCAGACTCTGCCACTGCCTCACCCCTCAGGCTACCAAAACCCTTGCCCAAGCATTCGTCACTTCAAGGCTCGATCATGGAAACTCCCTCCTTAAATTGGTCATTTTCAATTTTCAATGTTTGTGGGACATTGCTGTGCGCAATTGGCTGCCGCGTTCGCCCACAAATATACAGTCAATTCACTTTACAGTGTGTTCTGTGAAGCGCTTTGGGACGTCCTCCCGACGTGAAAAGCGCTATATCAAATGCAAGGATTATTATTATTATTATTATTATTATCAGCCTTCCCAATTCTTCCCTTCACAAGCTGCAGATCATTCACAACTCTGCAGTTCGTGTATTCTCTCGCACCAGGCTCTGCGACCCCATCACTCCCACCCTCGCCCAACTCCACTGGCTTCCCATCCCTCAGAGGATCAAATTCAAGATGCTTTCAAGGCCATCCATGGCCGTTCCCTCTGTTCAGCGGGCTCCGGTTTGCTCCATGTCTCCCGCCGACCTGCCCTACCATCAGTGGCCGGGCTTTCAGCCTCTCTGTCCCCACACTCTGGAACTCCATCCCACAGTCCCTTCGCCTCGCTTCCTCCCTTGCCTCCTTCAAGGCCGGTCTCAAGACCCTTCTCTTCGATCCTGCCTTCGGTCACCCTCCCACCTCTCTGTCTTCCCTCACCCCTCCCCCATGCTCAGTCTGGTTGACAGGAAGTTGGCTCTCATCCAGGATTTGATGTCCGACAGACATTCTGTCAGGACAGCAGTAGAATCAAGGGTGGAGGCAGAGAGGCAGAGTTGGGTATTATCCGCATACATGTGGAAGTTGACCCCATGCCTGTGGATGATGTCACCAAGGGGGAACATATAGATATTAAAATGGAGAGGGCCAAAGACAGAGCCCTGAGGGACACCACACGTGACGGTGCGGGGGCTAGAGGAGAAGGTGTTAGAGGCGACAAAATGGAGATGGTGGGAGAGGTAGGATTCAGAATGTTGTGAGTGACTTTTAACCAGGGCTGTGGCTGTGCTGTGGACAATACAGGGGAATGGAGAGGAATGGGAGTTTGGAGATTGGACAATAGCTGGAGAGTAGGGATGGATCCAGGGAAGCTTTTTTGAGAATGGTGGTGATAACAGCTGTTTTTAGTGGGGTGGGAACAGTCTCAGTTGGATAAGGGGAGGTTGATAACGTCCGTTGAAAGAGGGACCAGGAGGTGGAGCTGGGAGGTGAGGAGAGGGGTGGGGACGGGGTCGAGGGAGTAGGTGGTGGGCTTCATTTTTGAGATGATGGAGGTGAAGGAAGAGGGGGAGACAGGGTCGAAAGTGAATAGGGATGGATGGGTGGGGGCCGAGACATGAGGCGGAGGTGGCAAGGAGGTACCAGTGGACTGGGGAGAGGTAGCTGAACGAATCCCTTTGACTTTGGATTCGAGGAAGGCCAACATCTCCTCGCATTTGGAATTGGAGAGGATGGGCGTGGCGCAGGTAGGTGGACGCAGGAAGCGGTTAGTACAATTCTGTACTTAACAAGGTAGTGATTAATATTTAGATAATAATCTTTGCAATTTGATTATAGCATCTTATCACATCATCAAGATGTTTCTACGTAATTCGCAAGGTATACTGTAAAGTGTAATTTTGTGGACGAAACATGGCAGCAATGTAGACAGCAATGTCCCACATACAGCCACAGAGTGAATAACCAATTTTATTTGAGGGATTCTTGGCCAGGACATGGGAGAAACTTTTCGAATAGTGCCAGGGGATCTTTAACAACCACCTGAACAGGCGGATGAGACTGCGGTTTAATGTCTCATCTGAAAGATGGCATTCCTGATAATGCAACACCCGCCCCAGCTCTGCATTGGAGAGTCAATTTAGATGATGTGAGTCCAAGTCCCAAGAAACCGCAGCCATCTGTCTGACTCAGGCGAGAATGCTGCCAATTTGCCAGGCTGACATATCATCAGAAGTATAACACGTTAGTACCAAGTGAGACCTCAGTAGAGTTAATTTAATGTAAAGCCTTTACAGAACTTGGAAACTTGAGTCTAGTCCTTTTCCCACGTCCAGTTCAGACTGCTATTCTCAGGTTAATGATGATTCCGAGTCCTTGGAATGAGTTTTCCTGTTTTTCAACTGAAGTGGTTAATTTGCTACACTGAGAAGCACAAATACAGTACAAAACACAAAATACTGCAGATGCTGGAAATCTGAAACAAAAACAGAGAGAGCTGGGAAAACTCAGCAGGTCAGGCAGCATCTACGGAGAAAGGAAAGTGAGTCAACGTTTCGGTTCCACAACCCTTCGTCAGAACTGGGGCATGTTGGGAGGGAGAACTTTTTAAGGATAAGTTGAGGGGGAGGCAGGACAAGGATGGCAAAGAAGACAAAGGAGAGAATGTGTTAGTTGATGGCTTAAAGAGGTGAGAGTGGTGTAAAACAAAAGGTGGTGGGGGGGGGTGAGTTGAAACAAAACTGGGGAGGTGTTTCCTTTTCTCCCAACATGCCCCAGTTCCGACGAAAGGTCGTGGACCCGAAACGTTGACTCACTTTCCTTTCTGCACTATTAATAATAATCCCTCCAAAACAAAAATCAATAATAAATTGGTCATTTTCAATCTACAACTGTTTGTGGGACACTGCTGTGCGTAATTGGCTGCCGCATTTCGCCCACAAATGTATGGTCAATTCACTTTACAGTCTATTCTGTGAAGCGCTTTGAGACGTCAAGAAGACGTGAAAAGCGCTATATCAAAATGCAAGGATTATTATTATTATTATTAACACCTCTTCTCCCCAGATTTGTTTCAACCCACCCCTTTTATTTTACATCCCCTCCTTTTGTTTTACGCCACTATCACCTCTTTTACCCATCAACTAACGCATTTTCTCCTTTGTCTTCTTTTTTGTCTGCTTTGTTGTCCTTGTCCTGCCTCCCTCTTCCAACATGCCCCAGTTCTGACGAAGGGTCGTGGACCTGAAACGTTGACTCACTTTCCTTTCTCCATAGATGCTGCCTGACCTGCTGGGTTTTCCCAGCTCACTCTGTTTTTGTTTTGTGAACACAAACACACCTTCTGGTTCTCAATTTAGTTCTCACAAATTTTTGATTTTAAGTTACATTCTTTATTGTTTGTCCTTCACATTATCCAACTTGCACGGCCTTCATTATTTGTATCTAAACAGTGTCTGCATACAGTTTTACTACAGGTAGCCTAGATCACAAATTGGAAAAAATATATGGATGATGTCTATTTAAGACATTGGCAACAATTTATTTGCAAAAAGTACAAGTTCCCTGGGCATCATATATTTTCTGCAGAAGTATACGTAGCTTGTAATGCAATATACAAACCATAAATATGACTAATTAATGATACAGACAGTAAAATTTAATGAAGTAACTACTCCTGACAGGACCAGAATAGAGCTGGAAGATGGCATGCCTGCCTGGTTGAGTGCAGGATACTTTAAAGACTAGATACTTTTACAAGATTGATACGATCTGCATTCTCATTCTCCCATTAGGATTATCATTAGGATTCTAATGAGGCAACTCAGTAACAGTCGAGAGGAAAATCAGGGTGCAAGACAGATCTAATTAAAACCAAATCTCTCTGGCAGAAAGATCCAACCAATAATTTTATAAACTAACTTTCAAAATGATCAGTCAAAAAATAGGAAAACTTTCAAGTTGCAGTGTGAATAATGACTTGCAAAAGGAAGAAGGATCTGTGAATGGATTTTGCTGTTAATGTAGTTGAAATAACAGATTATAAAGTGCCACATGTAATACATGACAGCCCAATCCTAAAATGCCATGATTCATTTCAACAAATAAATAAGTTTCTAAAATTCATAATAGTTCAGTTTAACAATTAGTCCATAATATTTCAATAATACTTTCTGCATCCAAGACTCTCTTAAGTCACTTTTATTTTCAGAACAGTAATAGCCAACAACCTTTTTAATGAATTTATAACCTTATATAAAAGAAAACAAATAAAAAAATCTATATTTAAACATTTTCAAGTAAGTCTGATATCACCAATGAATTACAGTTAATCCCAAATCAATATAAATGCAGTATAAATGAATGAACAGGAAGTTCTGCATGAGAACTAAATTGCACAAATAGTAAAACATCCCACAGGGATTGGGATCAATGCAGAAGCCAGCTGGAGGATACTGCTCATCCACTACTTGAAGATGCCATTCTGTGTTCAAAACTAGTATCCATCTAATTTAGAAAATTACTCGACCAAGTTCAAACAAGACCTAGACAAGAAAAGTGGAGAAAAAAAAGGCTGAATTGTGGATTGTGAAATATTACATATTCTTAAATCTATTGTCTGTGTTAAGAAACTGTAATCCTCCTCATTGTGCATCAAACACTCTTACACATAGGTGCAAGAATTAGCTATGGTAAACTATACTATATAATAGTTTTCAAATTAGAACAAGCAAGAATTCCCCCTCATCTTTATACTCACTTTCAACCTGTCAACACAGCATTAATGAATCAGGTTAAATAAGGGTAAAGTTAAATATCGCTTAAATTAAAACTTTCAAATGTGGGTTAAACAGACAAGAATTTACAAGGATTCAATGAGACTGGAGAATTGATTAAAAAAGTAGAGGGCACTGCAGTAATTCACGTCTTGAAATGTAGAGGGCCTTCAGGGTTTACATCCAAATCAATTCAGTATTTCACTTTATTAGACTCAGCTATATATGATCCACACTTGAAAAAAAAGTTGAAAAATGTTGAAAAAAATTTGGAAGTGTACCATTTGCTGAGCTCAAATTTTAAATATAAACATAATTATAATAACCAGAAGTGCAGGAAGTTTTGAATAATTTACTTGTAGGTTGTCCAGAAAAAATTGGATACAACGGTTTGCAGAATCTTCTCAGGGGCAATATTCTACATCTTAACCAATGGCTTCATAAAGTTGTTCTATGACGTACCTCAATGGTAATAAGGATAACAATCATCCACTCGAGTCGCAGTCCATGTTTCTCACTTAGATGGTTCCGCATCAGGTCTGTTAACTCTGTACAGTGTTGCAGCTTTTCATTGATAACCTATAGGTTGAAGGTTTACCACAATATAAGAGCTACTACTAATTGGACAGTATTTCATACACATCTTGCTTGCATAACGTATCCTTCAACAGATATAACTGGACATATGCATTTAGCATTATTTATTCCCATGCCAACACACTAGTATATATATGTGAGAGGTTATACAATGAAAATTAGAATACGTACAATAGTTTCAAAATTTCACCACTGAGAATTTAATTTACATCATAATTAATTATTAAAATAAGGAAGAAATATATTGGCCATGACACAGAGAATTCTCTATTCTTCAAAATAGCATCATGGGATTTTTATCTGCCACCAGAACAGACTGAAGTACCAAATTAACCTTGATTTACTGTCTCATCTGCTGGACTGTATAGTATACACTACTCAGATTAGAAGGGAGCCAATGCAGTGAGTCAGTATTATTCCTAAACAGTCATTCATCATGGCCTTCCCTGAAATTATACATCTACCCATTGTCCAATCTTACATCACATTATTGTACATTCTTACTTACAGCAATCTTGCTGTAATTCAGGAATTACTGAGATCAACGGTGCGAGAGCTGAATAAGTAAATGATAGATAATCATTAAAACTGTTTACTCAGACCTAGAAATCCATCCAAATTAATACCCGTGAGGACATCAAAAATAAAAATACATAGGAATTGATCCCAAACTTTCAAATAATGATTTATAGTCGTTTAATTTTTTCAATGAGTATGTTTGTAAGTTTGAATGCGTACAATATTTTCAGAAAATCAATGGCATGTGAAACTTGAAATGGGAGTACATTGAACAGTAATTTTAGCAACTTCTTCCATCATTTACGGCAGAAGAATTTTTCAGAATTCTTTATCACAGACTTGGATTTTCAATTTTTTTTTACAATTACAATTCCTTCCCAATTTCATCATAAAACACCAACCTTTACACGTCGGTTAATGTTTAGGTATTGACAGGTTTTGTCATACAGTTGTTCTAGGTTCTCCCTGTCCCAGTAAAAATCTGGGGTCATCAGCAGATCAGAGCTCAAGTTTATACGGTGCCTGAAAGAGGACAAATGTATCGTAACTACAGGTAGATAGTATCAATAGTAATAAAAATCCTCACATTTGATTTAGTGTCTCTCATGTCAGAACAACATTTTAAAGTGCTTCACAGGATTTACTGTGAAGTGCAGTGACCATGTATTTTGTACGCAAACACGGCAGCCAATTTGCACACAGCAATATCCCATTGAAGTTAAAATCCCATTAACAAAGTGAATGACCAATCTTATCCCTGAGTTTGTCAGCCAGGACACCAGGGAAAACTCCCTCATCTTTTCGAATATGGCCATGGGATCTTTAACGTCCACTGAACAGGCAGTTGGGAACTCAGCTTAATGTCTAACCCAAAGAATGGCACCTCTAACAATGTAGCGCTCCCCTGGCATTGCACTAGAAAGCCAGCCCAGACTAAAATGCCACCTGGAGATTAGGGCTGAACAACTGTCTGCCAAACAACAGGATTGTGTTAAAAAACGCAACCAATGATATCAGGAGAGGGAGCTCAGAGCTGGTGGAGTAGAGGATGAGATTCACAGCCGGGGGCGTGGATGGAATGCGACACCAAGCATCATCTTATAGTAAGTAGACAGCTCCAGCAAACATTTCTGGAACTCAGTTCATCTGCTCATGGTTCTTAGGATGTAAGATTGTGGCTGAATCTGCCCAAATTGTTTAAAAATATCCCTCAAGACATGAAAATGCATAACTTGTGTTCAATGTAAATCTTTCTCACTTTGACACCCACACTTGTGAACAGTCTAACAGTTGTGTTTCTCCACAAACCTCGTCACCCTCTGCTGTCACAATCCCCATGCTCTAGTTTACAATTATTAACTGTTATTAGATATTTACTAGTTATTAGATATTTACTAGCCACTAGAATTTTGTAAATCTATTATAGACAAAAAAGGATGTTTTTGAGGAAAACAAATAATGCATTTTTATTATAAAGATGTAGATTTAAATGTTCTAAAGCTAAAATTCTTAATGTTATTTTCAGTCCATTTTCTTAAAGCTAGGCAGACTAATGTTGAGTATTAATAGCTTTTTTATTTGCAAATACTGTTATTTTTAAGATAGTTTGACAATTAATAAAGATAGTGGAATTCCCAACATGAAGAGAATTTAACTTTGTTCATTGGAATAAATTCAAGTCATTTCCATTGCATATTGGGGCCATTCATATGAATATTTAAATTCTTCCATTTTATAATTTAAAAAAATCTTGCTTGCATTTAAGATAAGCCACGCATCTGATTTAGGGCAACAAGTTTACATTTTTACATGAACCGTGTTCCAAACTGCAGGAAAAACAGAAACAAACATCCTTTTCCTACTATACTAACAGCAAGACTCCAACCACTTCTTAGTGGAGCTTCTTTTGGGGTGGAGTGCTGCTAAAGGTTGCTTTGAGTTGCTCCTAATGTACCATTTCCAAAATACATGGAGGAAAAGTGCAAAGCACAACAATTTTCACTGCTCCAGAATTTACACAAAACATTCTGTGGGTGAATTGAACCAGCATGTAGGAGAGGTCATATACTATGAGGGGATGATAAATCAGAAAGCTCAGTAACTATATGAAGATAAGCCTCCAAGTGTTTTTGTGGCTAGCGTCTCCATAGAGCTGAAAAAATGCCTGTTCCTAAGTTTCACAATTAGCTATACAAGATATTGTGATTCCAACTAACCTCAATTAGCTGATTTCGAGTTAAATAGAATGAATATCCTATAACATCCTGTTACATAAGAAATTAATAGCTTTATTACAATAAACTGGAAGCTCTCGGCTATGTAATTCACAGTTCCATTCATTCCCTTTTGGTTTGTATTTTTACCTAAGGGCAAACAGTTCACCGATTTTCTGCATGACTTCAGATCGGGAAATTTTCACTCGTTTTCCTGCCTTCAGCATCTATTAGGAATGAACAATAATACAAACCTATCACGATAAGTTCTAATCAATAACAGTAACCTTTTGCGATATGTGAATATGCCAAATTCCAAGTAAAAAACAATCTCATTTATAGAATGGTACTTTGTTTCCCTTTATGTAAAAAAAGCACCTTAATTTATTTAGCAATATTCTCAAATGATTGTTTTGTGATTAATTATGTGTTCAGCTTTATTGAGTCATTTGTGAAAGTCCCAAATATTGGTTTGTACCTCAATAGACATCTTAAAGGTTTACTTAACACACCAAGAATTTGGTTGACTTCCAGACTTGGGATCAGGAGGGTTCCAAGTTTGATTTCTTCTGGGTTCCCTCAGCCCTTTGCTCTTTCAAACCAATAAAATAAGTGCTGTATCCTTGGTCACTAAACTGGCTCTGAGGAACCACACATATCAATGGGAGGCAGGTCCAACATATTCAGTCACTGTTGACACTTAACTGGTCTGTTTCGTCAAGGAAATTTGGAGGTCCTCAACCCTGTGAGTTAAAGCCCTGATATCTAGCATACTCCTAGCTGTACAAGTATCACAACATGAACCAATTTGTAGTTACAAGATGCATGGCCAATTTTACTAAAATTTTATTTTGTCATTAGTTTAGATTTAAGAAATTTTGAACTAATAATTCAAGATACATAAAGCTGAGACAAGACATAGTTTAGACTAACGAATGTCAAAGTAATCCCAGTGGTTTGCATCTGTTAGTCATACATTGGTGTATAGCAGTTAAATTTCTGCCGAACAGAGCCTTAAACTGGAGAGTAGGTGGGTTTCTCTCCATGTCAATTGATGGCAGTGAAAAATGCACTCACTGAGGCAATTTCCTTGATGACAGATCTAATCAAATATAGTACATAGTGTATAACTATGTACTATATCCCATAATGTTACTTCCTAAAAGAAAACAATCTAATCTGTGTTTCGAAAGAATCAACACTTCCAGTTAAGATTTATATACTACAGACAAAGACAAGTTGAGGATTTTGTTAAACCATATGGAACACAGACACGTCTCCTGGTAAGATTTAGGAGGTGACTGGAGCACTGGAATTGTGAAAAATTAATGAAGTGTGTTTAGTTTGACTGTGGAATGCAATTAATTCACAGGATGGACTCAAACTGCCAGGAAACAGGTCATCTACTTCCAGAGTAATTGTGACAGAAATATAAATCTGGCTAATCTGTTAGTGTACAAATGTTATCCAAATATACTGATAAGAAGTTATTTATATCTGGAAGATTCCTTCAAGTATAGTTCTCTCTGACTGCATTCCATTTGAATTCCTTCTCCAGGAAACGACACCTTTAGCCTGATTGGGAGATTAATTCCCTTTTTACACCAGGAAGAAGCTCACACTGTAAAAAGTTAATTTTCCCTGTGGAAAATTTCCCCAAATGAATTTGGACTTGGATCTGTATTGCGCCTGACTACAGGAGTTCTGATTCCATAATAAAAATCTTGCCACTGGACCAGGTGACATTCCATGCATGCCTTGAGCCTATTGCATACCTAGCACGTCAAACTCATACATGTTTGCGCCACCAGTAAAAATTGGATTTTGTCATATCCACTGGCCAAATAATAGCACAATCATGAAAAAAACTGGAAACAAAGTCATCTGTTATTGAGGTGAATCTATCAGTCTTCGTTACCATGATATGGGTAGCAGTGACCACAAAAATGAATTTATAATAGGATTTGGCGCTTGTATGAAAGTTGGGTGGAAATGCAATATTTACAGAATGACATCAAGGCATGCACGTAATATTAGTTTCCTTACGTAGCTTCCGCCCGATCAGTGACCAGGCTTTCAGGCTCTCTGCCCCCACAATCTGGAACTCCATCTCAAGGTCTCTTCGCCTCGCTTCCTCCCTTGCCTCCTTCAAGGTCAGTCTCAAGACCCTTCTCTTCGACCGTGCCTTTGGTCTCCCTCCCACCTCTCTGCCTTCCCTCACCCCTACACTACCCCTCTCCCATGCTCGGGCCACAACACCTGACTGTTCAGCTCTTTGGGACGTCCTCCCAATGTGAAAAGGGGCTCTATAAATGTCATTTTGTTGTTGTTGTAGTTTCTAGAAATCTGGAGGCAACATAAACTTATTGACCAGTATGTGACAATGCCCTCGGTTTGGCACCAGATTTGGAGTATGGAGCCATGATGTAAAAGTGGCTTTACATTATTTTGTGCTTTAATTACTGTTGGGAAAATCAGTCTCAAACAAGGGCGTTTTCATCGCCACAGGATCCTCATAAAAGCTTTTTTTTCTGCTGGTTCAGATTTTCCCAGGTGATTTTTGTAGCAGATAACATTGTTAAGGCACTGAAAATCAGGAAGGAGCTGACTTGTAAACACATCGACCAAATCTAAAACCAAATTCTTGCTGATGACAAAGTGCTCAGGTAATTGAATTCCTAATTGGAAAGCAGTGCACACATTGAATTTAGCAAAGTCACTTTTGTGTTGAGATAAATACTCAATAGTCACCAACAGAGCATTGAAGGAATGGAGAAGAGGCAATGGATCCTCAGGCAATCCATTACTATTTGTCTTGCGGGAATGAAGTTTGTATTGATGAAAGGAATTAGCTGCCAGTGACAAATCAGATATCACCAACATGTTAAGTTAGGTTTGGAGTATGATTGACTCTTCAGAAAGTTAAGCAATGATAGAACACAGAAGACTTGCAGGCATCGGTAGGTTCCATAACACTGAATACAGACTTTGAAATGAAGCTCTACCAAGCTCAGGTTCAAAAAAACATGACAGGTTCTCTCCAAATGCAGCATAAGAATCTCGGCCTTTGGTCATTTAAGCCAATGGTAGCAGAAGTAAGAGGTATTCAGTCGTGAGCACTTGAAAGTAAGGTTGCTATATTTTCATTGTGGCTGGGCTCCTGATAGCAGGAGTGCCATTGCCAGTAGACCTATCTTATGAAGCTCGCGTCAAATGTTAAAACATTTAGAGCTAAGCAAGCTATTTGACTTGGATTGTGAGCAAAGAATCTAAAATCCAGGCTCAAATCAGAAATCTTAACTCAGACTTAGAAGAATTCTACTGCCCACCCCATATAGTATGTTTATGGAAGACAGTCATCAAAAGAAGCGGAAAAATATTGTTTGGGAATGATATTGAAGGTGACAGGGAGACTGAGAAAAAGAATACACAATAGTGGAGTATGGTTTATGTGTTGTTGGGTCCAATCGGAGTAGTTTGTGGGAGCAGCCAAATAGGGTTCTTAGGTTACAACTGAAACCTTCCTTTATTCGAAAATCATTAGTGATTATGCAGTAAATCGATTCTAGTGCTTTTTTGAGAAAGAGAGTGTTTTACTTTCAGGAAGGAAAAATAGATTTGAAATAAAGTGCAATTTTCGGGTAGCAAAAAAATACAAACTCTTTGGTACATGTAATTTAACAATTTATCGCATACAATTATTATCAATAATGCTTGCGTTGATATTATGCATATCATGTAAAAGATCTCAAAGCACTTCAAAGGTAATTGCATCAAGAGTAGCAACTGGATATTTGTAGACAAATGCAGCAGCAATTTGGTGGACAGCAAGGGCCCAAACAGTCATGAAGTCCTCATCCAGTACTGGAGTGTTACCCTAGACTGCTTACTGAAGTCCTGACATGCATGGTGCTTGAACCAACAAACTTTTGACTTAGACGTGGAAGCCAACCAAATTGGTGTATAAAATTTTAAATGGAATTGAAAAGTAAACTCAGTTCATTACTTTAGGATGTATCATGGCAATAGAATAAGAGGACATAGATTTAGAGTTGTAAAGGGCAATTTCAGGATTGATATCAAGAAACAGGTCACATAGCAGGGATTCAATATGGGATCTTATTGTGCTGTTATATTACGTTTCAGTTGTGCTTATTAATATTCTAATCAAACCAATTTTGCGATAAAGTGTTTCTAATCTGTTATCATTCCAGTTTCTGGTTTCATTGCATTCTCACAATTAACAATATTAATTTGACATGATGGTCATGCATAACACCAGAAGCAAACCATTTGCTGCTCATGAATATGCTTTAAAATTCATCTCCTGAATTAGACTTGCAATCTAACTATTTGTCAACTTACCTCTGGAATGGACTGAATGGAGTTAACAAAACAATCCAGTGACACCTCCCAGATGGCAAGCTTCACTGTACCCAAAGATACAAAGAAACAGTTGTAACAAAATTATAAAAATTTCAGTGAGGCTTAAGCAATTTCAACAAGGGAAACTTCATGGCATTCTTTATTCTTACGAGAGGTCCTTTATATGTAAAGGAAGAGATATTACTCCTGTACACATATATTAAACAGGAGAACTAATTTACAGCAACACCCAGTAAAACACTGCCTTGCTTAGAGAGCAGGTACCCTGTGTATATCCATGAATGTAATGGTCAGCTTCTGTGGTATCTGTCACCACTGTTGTTACTTTCTTACACGAGGCGCATGCAAATCATGAAATATTAAAATATTTATATTATATAAAAATATTAAAATGCTGAACTCACTTTGCAAAGGGGGTTACGTCAGCAGAATTTCCTGCGCATTGGGTGCAATATGCAGCAAATGACATCAGCAGTGAGCTAAGAACTGTGAAGTCGGCAAAGAACTCCTTTAAACCAGTATTTATCTATTTTTAAAGATACTGCTATGACTTATTTCACCTAAACTAAAATAGTACATTGATATCATATTGAGCATCAAGTACAAAGATATACATATACATACTTATGACAAGCTTACCTGACAAGGATAGTGCATTTGAAAAGGCAAATTTCTCCAAAATAGATTCATTTGGCTCCAAATCAAAATTCAACAAAATCTGTCCACGATGTAGTTTGGAATGTCCTCTGTTAAGATAAATATACACACTCTTATTGTAAAGAGGTTAACTGTTAACACACATGTTCAATTTCTTGCCTATCCTCACAGATGGTATAAATATGACTTTAATAGTAATCAGATGGTGCAAATTGCCTAAACCAATTAATATGCTTTTTTGGGTTTAATGAGCACAGGTTATTTGAACCCTCATACCTAGTTACTCAAGTGTTCACTACATGGAAAAACCAACTAACAAAATGTGAGAAGTATTTCTTTTGTAGGCATTTTTCAAATTTCCCCTGCAAATTTAAGTAAATTTATTTTATAAATAAATAAGTAAATAAATGAAACTTCTTACTCTGAAATCCGATAGTTAATTTCTTCATTCTCCCAATGAACCAACGCCACTTCATATGCCTGGATCTCATGTCGTTCTAAGATTCGCATAATATTTTTCATCTAAAAGAAATGTTTAGTAAAGTCATTATAAACATAAAGCTTAAAAATACTGAAATTCTTAATATGTATATCTTCATATATAAAATTCCACAGATTTATAAATACAAAAAAAAATTCTTCCATACTAAACTTTAGTTTCAGCTCGTATTATTCTTTTCCATTATACAAGTTTAGCTTTGCCTGTCTATCCTTTGACTGGATAGAGGATAAGACAGCCTTAAATTTAATAAGGTTTTAATCTATTGTGAAAATATTAACTTAAAACTTGGATTAGTTCAATAGAACTGAAAATGTCCATTTATGATGGATATTTATAACTACATTCACTTTACAGTATATTCTGTGAAGTGCTTTGAGATGTCTCGAAAACGCGATAAGGGGCTATATCAAATGCAAGGATTATTATTACATAATTAATACAGGAACTAGTGTAATCATAACAAAGTATTACATACATGCCTTCAATGAAGAATATAATAATCAAGCAGAGTAAACAGTACAAAAACAAGAGCACGTCTCAATAATAAGTTCTGATTGCAGGTGCATCTCAGCATGAAGCGACCAGAAACTAACAGTTTAAATATTAATCAGGATGTAGGTGGTGAGATTCCAGTGCACAGTGAACCTCATAAGTTGCCAGGATTATTATATGATACAAAGGACAGACGGCCTCAAAGACTGGCATGAGGATTGCAAAGGATCAGTAGGCAATGGGATTCATAGGTTGGCAGGATAAAGACTGGGCTGTTGCATAGCAATGAGCAGATCTGGAGCCAGATGAGTCTATCGGTTGGCAGGATAAGGATTTTGTGACACCACTGGGCAGCAAGTCCCACAGGCTGGCAGAATACTAATGAGCAGCAAATACCCTGGTTGGTAAGGTAAAGGATGCATGGCAACAAAAAGAGGGAAGGAAAAGAACAAAAAAAACTGAACTACCATTATAGACATGCAATGTACCTGTATATTTCAACTTACAGTTTTATCTTCAACATTCCAAAATACAACCGAGCCCTCCCTGTGTAGATGAGAAATAAAAGCTGTTACAGTTCCCAACCATAGAGAGGACCATCTGTTATCTTTTAATAGTCAGCTAATAGACAGATGAGACAGATTTGGCAACACTATACCTAAATTCCATTTATAAAATGCTGAAAGCTAAATTAGCTATGAATACATTTAATACTGTAGGTACAAATCTTAAAATGCTATAAAAACGGTTAACACTTTTGGGGAAATAATTTAGTTCCATATGTTAGAGGAAAGAACTTGCATTGCTATAGTATCTTATTTCAAAAAAAACATTTCAGGTAATTACTGCCAGTGTAGAAACTGTTTTCATACCATCTGCAGCAGTCAATCTTAAAAGGAAACTAGGACTGTTTTATTCTGCACATATTCAATACAGTAGTTTTAAATGGCTAATTGCCAGAGTTATATTGCAATGAGAATCTGGATAAACCAGTGTTATGGTACATTGCTGAATTCTTTCTACTCTACTGTAAATATCAGACAGGATTAAATTGTCATCAAATAAAAAAAATGAATGGGACTTGGGTGCATATACGACTTAAGCAAGTTATATGACTTTTAACGAGATGATTATTTGGGGAGGACAAGTTTGCAGGGCTAAAGGGAGAGCGCGGGGAGTGGCATTGATTTGGATAGCTCTTTCAAAAGGGCCGGCACAGGCATGATGGGCCAAATGGCCTCCTTCTGTGCTGTATAATTCTATGGTATGACTTATGCGAGTGCACCTGTATCAGTAATATTACAATATTACTTCCATGGGGCATTACCTCAAATTATTTCCTCCAGCAACCGACGCGTGATGTGGTGGTATTGATAGAAATCTCATGAAGTTTCTTATACAAGAATATTACCAATGTTATAATAGTAATAATTATTCTTGTACTTGATACAATGATGTCATTTCAGGAGGACATCTCAAAGCACTTCCCAGGGTATATTCTGAAGTGCAGTGACTGTATTTGTAGGCGAATGATTAAGGGCCATAGGCAGATTAATTCCAGAAACTGTTCTTGTGTGTGCTACGGAGTGTAGCCAGCTAATCCGAGCTCTGCTGCAACACAAGCCTCCAGCACTTTATGCATATGAACTTCTGGATCTGAGAAACTAGGATGCCCACATGATGTATACACACACACACACACTCCACAAAAGCGATATCGCCATTTTTTATGCTCAGCTGTTGTGCTAACCATACGTAATTACCTCAAGAATTAGTTCTGATGTTTATAGTTTCAGTCCCACGATACTTCAGTGCTGAACACCCTCTGCTATCTTAAATTTTGTTTGGTTTATAGCACGATTCTGCTGGCAATGACACTCTGAATGTCCTTGGGATGTCCTCCCGACGTGAAAAGCGCTTTATAAACGTAATTTTGTTGTTGTATTTTCTTGAAGTGAAAAATGGGTGACCTGGGACGATAGAAAACTGAGGCCGCACTTTTCCCACGGAATCCGCTACCAACACCCTATCAATTTTCTCCGCAATTTCCCATAAAATTTGCCAAATGGCCTGAAATTTTTGGCAAATATTACCACAATTTTCTATTGGCCCAGGGGATGACCTACTTGGAGGCTGAAATAGTTCTGCCGACACATACATCTTCTCTTGACAGCTGTTACTGTCCGTGCTCCAGATAGATGAATGACCACTGACAATGACAATAGTCTTCCCGATCAATTAATCATTTAACTCATGGCACTTTGTGTTAATCCTTGCATTTGGTATAGTGCCTTATCATACCATCAAGACGTCTTAAAGCCCTTCACAGAATACACTGGAAAATGGATTAACTGAGTTTTATGGACAAATGCAACAACCAATTTGCACAAAACAATGTCCCTCAAACAGTCATGGAGTGAATGACCAATTTTATTTAGGGCATTGTTGGCCAGGACACTGGGAAAAACTGTCTTCTTTTTTCGAATAGTGTCATGGGATTTTTAATGTTGACCTGAACATGCAGACAGGACAACAACAACAAGATTCCATTTATAAAGCGCCTTTCACGTCAGGAGGACGTCCCAAGGCGCTGCACAGTTGGGTCATGACCCGAGCAGGGGGGAAATGGTCAGGGTGAGGGGAGGGAAGGGAGGGAGCGAGGAGGGGGGAAATGGTCAGGGTGAGGGGAGGGAAGGGAGGGAGCGAGGAGGGGGAAGAGAGTCGAGAGGGGAGCTGAAGGCTCGGTCAAAGAGAAAGGTTTTGAGACCGGCCTTGAAGGAGGAAAGGGAGGAGGCGGCGAAGGCACTGGGGGATAGAGTTCCAGAGCCTCGGGGCTGAGAGGCTGAAGGCCCGACCACCGATGGTAGGGCGGTTGGGGCGGGGGACGTGGAGCAGACCGGAGCCAGAGGAACGGAGGGTACGGGCAGGTAGGTAGGGGGATAGTAGGTTGGAGAGGTAGGAGGGAGCAAGGCCGTGAATGGCCTTGTAGGTGAGGATGAGGATCTTGAAATCAATCCTCTGGGGGATGGGGAGCCAGTGGAGGCGAGCGAGGGTGGGAGTGATGTGGTCCCGAAGCCTGGTGCGGGACAGTACACGAGCTGCAGAGTTCTGAATGACCTGCAGCTTGTGGAGGGAGGTGGCGGGAAGGCCGGCGAGGAGAGAGTTCCCATAGTCCAGCCTTGAGGTGACAAAGGCGTGGACCAGGGTTTCAGCAGCGTGAGGGGTGAGGTAATGCCGTAGTCTGGCGATGTTCCGGAGGTGATGGAAGGCGGTGCCAGTTGTGGTGCGGATGTGAGGGAGAAAGGACAGCTCAGGGTCGAACAAAACGCCGAGGTTCCTGACTGGCTTTGAGAGGTGGAGAGTGCAGCCTTGGATGCTGATGGTGTCAGCGCCTGAGGTGCGGAGGCGCTGACGTGAGCCAATCAGGAGGGCCTCGGTTTTTCGCACGTTGAGCTGAAGAAAGTTGTCTCTCGTCCAGGACTCGATGTCGGACAGGCAGGCTGTCAGGACATCGGTGGTCGTGGAGTTGAGAGTAGAGGAGGAAAGGTAGAGTTGGGTGTCATCCGCATACATGTGGAAGTTAACTCCATGTCTGCGGATGATGTCACCGAGGGGGAGCATATAGAGGGTGAAGAGGAGGGGACCGAGGACAGAGCCCTGAGGGACACCACATGAGACAGTACGGGGGGTGGAGGAGAAGCCATTCGTCGAGACAAAGTGAAGACGGTGAGAAAGGTACGACCTAAACCATTCAAGGACAGTGCCTTGAAGGTTGAGGTGGGAGGACAAGCGGTGGAGTAGGATAGCGTGGTCGACCGTATCGAATGCTGCCGATAGGTCGAGGAGGACGAGGAGGCAGAGGGAGCCCTGGTCACAGATGGTCAGGATATCATTGGTGACCTTGACCAGGGCAGTTTCTGTGCTATGGGCAGCACGGAAACCTGACTGAAGGGGTTCGAAAAGAGAATGGGTGGAAAGGAAAGAGCGCAGTTGGGAGGCGACAACTCTTTCCAAGACCTTGGAGAGAAAGGGGAGGTTGGAGATGGGCCGGTAGCTTGATAGCTGCGACGCATCAAGGGAGGGTTTTTTCAGGGTGGGCGTGATGGTGGCAGTTTTTAAGGGAATGGGGACAGAGCCAGAGGAGAGGGACAGGTTGATGATGTCGGTGATATGTGGGGCAAGAAAGTGGAGCTGGGAGATAAGGAGTGGAGTGGAGTGAGAGGACCTCAGTTGAACGTCTCATCCGAAGGATGGCACCTCCGACAATGAAATGCACTCCCAACACTGCATTGGACTGTCATCTTAGGCTTTATGATTCCAAGTCCTGACTTGGTGCTTGAGCCCACAACCTTGATTCAGAGACAAGAATGCTACCACTGTGCCAGGCTGACCCAGCTGAAGGACAGCACCTCCAACAATCTTCTGGTATCTTCAAGCATCGACCCCTGGAAACCAAACACTGTAACTCAAATCTCTTTTTAGCAGCATCGACATTTATGGGTTACTTCCTGTATTTTGTGTTTGAACTTGTTAGATAGCCAAGGAAGTTTTAATGCATTGGACAATGTATAATCAATCTATCATGTCTCAATGCCACCAAACCATTCTGTTTGGAGGTCTCCCAAATTGTTTTGTAGAGACTACATATGAAGAAGACACCTGAAGTGGAGATGTGTTCATGAGATCCACAAATAAGACTGCAAGGTAATATATGTCTCAAGTCCCAACTGCAAGGTAATATTGGGATCATAATCCTCAAAACAGTATAAAGATATTCACAGATACAGTGTGTTGTTTTGCAGTAAATTGCTCTGGGTGCACATTCCTCTCATCATCTGCACACTCATCTTCATCCCAAAGAACAAAGGGCAGATCTCTAGGACTGGATTCTCTGAAGTCTGGATTGAAGCCTGCTACATAAGAGACAAATAGCCCATGGACTCCATGGTGTCCAGAACTGGGCATTGGAAGCGACACCATAAACACTGATGTGTAAACTGTTTTCTTAATGATATCAGGACTGCAGGGGCTGCCTTTGAAGCATTTAGACGGAGGAAGTTTTAGCTTGGAAATGGTTTTGACGGACATCATCAAAAGGCCAAGTCACTCTTCTCAGGAATGTTCTGATCAATATGCTCATAGAAAGAAATCTATGGGTGCATTGTGGGAGGACGAAGATCAATGGCAGGTTTTGTCAGCTGAATCTGAAGCACTCCCTTAATGGCAATATTGATGAGCATCTAACCTTAATCACTTCCCATGCAGACATGGCTACTTCACCATCAAAGTCTGCACAGTCGAGTCTTTATTGTAGACACTTTAGCTACCTATGTCTGAAACAAAGATCAGCGATCTGAGGGCTAGGCCTGCTTAGATGGGTGTAACACCCATCTGATCTGGAAGCAGACAAATACCTTAAGAACATGCTACTTGAAGACTTCTTGGGTAACACCAAATGACATTTTTAAAGCAGGATAACCTTTTCATGGAATAAAATTTTGTAAGACCTTTCGAATTGGGCAATAACTGAAGACAGCTTTACCAGGTAGTGTGAGTATTTGTTACAGAGAAGGGTTAATAACATTTTACACATTTAGAATTCAGTGCTTGTATGAAGCTTGTATGTTTCTGCACTCCATCCTTCTCCATTGCCTTTCCTCCCTGCTTCACTTCCATGATTCTGTCCTTTGCTGGTTTTACTTGTCATCTTCATTTTGTCTCTTCCAGTGACTTTGCCTTCCACCCCAGCACCACTGGGCATTCCTCAGGACTCTATCCTCAGTCCTCTCCTTTTCACCATCTATCTACTCTGACTTGGTGACATGATCCGTAGGCTGGGGTCTCCTTCCACATGCATTCAGATGGTACCTAACACTATTTCGCTGCCTCTACCCTCCAGGACCAATGCTCTTATGACCAATTGCCTGTCCTGGATGAGTTCTAACTCAGTGATCTGCAATGGATGCTCATTCCATCTCATGGAGCCAGTGGGGATCTTTGCTGACTTGTTCGATCCCCCAACTGTCCTTCAAACAGTGCCGGCAGTACATTCATTTGACCTTCCATTATCTTCACAGCATTGTCCGTCTCCACTACTACCCGCTGAGACCCTCATCCATGTCTTCATTACATCCAACTCCTGTGTTCCTCAGATCCACCAGCCCCTCCCTACACAAGCTGTTGACCATCCGGAAGTTTACAGCCTGGGTCCTCTCCTGCATCAGGTTCCACAAAATCATCACCCCCACCCTCGCTCGGTTCCACTGGCACCCCATCCCCCAGTGGATTAAATTAAAAATCCTTATCCTCACTATTAAATGCCTTCTCTATGGTCTCAGCCCACTCTACCTCTGCATCCTCCTACTGCCCTGTCTTTTCCTCCACTCAGTAAACACCAGGGTGCTTCAGCTCCCCTGACCAATCCGCCCATCATTGTTGGGTGAGCTTTCAGCCATTCTACCCTGCTATCTGGAACTTCATCCCTCCACCCCCCTCCTCTCACCTTTAGAATTTGTCAGAATTTATTTTTTCAATTGCACTTTCGGCCACCTCCCCAGAGTTGTGCTTCCAGTTAGCCGTGTGAAACTCTTTCGAAAAGGCACTATATAAATGTAAATTGTTATCACAGATCTCAATCCATTGCACAAGCTCAAAAATTTTAAAGAAAAAAAATCAATACATTATGAAATAAGAACTTTCCTACACATTAATCACAGTTATTGTTAATGACCAAAGTAAAGAACTTAAGCTGCGTTCCAGAACAAAACTACAACAACCATAATAACTTGTATTTATATAGCACCCTTATTTCATTTATATTACCCTAGTGATGGTAGCGCTTCAGAGCACCTTAGACAAAATATCTAGCAAAATGAGGGAAGAGACTATGGAGAGGCAATAGGTAATATATTAAAGCAATAGCTTCCCTAAGTATCTTTCCCTTCTATAGATGGCTTATAATTACTCAGCTGATTTGGACAATTGCAATTCTTTTTGAACATTTTAAATAAAAGCACTAGCACAAACAAGAAAATGAAATTGAAGAGTTTAATTCATGAAATGAATTGGAACTGTTTCAGAGCATGCACAGACCTGGAATATATGTGCAGGAATGATACTTGTATGTTTGTAAGATGTTATTTGTAAGATTCAGCTTTTGTCCTAAAACGTCGAGATTTTCAAACAAAGAATTGGTTCTCACTTTCTGGTTCATGAGCCTCCCTGAACAGCGAGATAAAATAAGCATGTAACACCTCTGCACTGGCAGGGATCACATGCAATGCACCCCATCAACTGGCAAGGGAAAACAGATGCACTTTTCCCACCCCCTACCAGACTGGAAGAAAGTAGATGCATAACAAATGCACAACATTTGAAAATAAGTGAACATCTTCTGCAAGATCAGCATCTAATCACATTATTGGCATGTCCTTGGGCATTTCACCCACCAAAATATAGTCACTGCACTTTACAGTAAATCCTGTGAAGCGCTTTGAGACACCTCAACGATATGAATAAGGCGTAATATCAACAACAAGAAATATTATGTCAAAGTATGGGTTTCAATTGGCAGAGAACAATTGAAAATACATGGTAAGAAAGGTTTAACTAAATCTCAGAAATTTTCATTGGTCAACTGCTGCTGTGGGATTAGCAATGGAAATAGTTTTAAAAGCAAGAGGCATAGAATCAACTCAAATAGCACTGAAGTAGTCAAAGACATTGCTTTACGTATGTGTACGACACCCAACTCTATCTCTCTGCCTCCACCCTCGACTCCAGGACCACTGCTGTGCTGACAGAATTTTGTCAGACATCAAGTCCTGGATGAGAGCTAACTTTCTACAGTTGAATATCAACAAGACCGAGGCTCTCCTAATTGACTCCCGTCAGTGCTTCCACACCTCAGGCGCTGACAGCATCACCATCCAAGGTTGCACACTCCACCTTCTGAGCCAGTCCAGAACCTTGGCATCTTGTTTGACTCTCAACTATCCTTTCTACCCCACATCTGTGCCATGACCCACTCTGCCTTTACCCACCTCCACAACATCACCCGGCTCCGCCACTGTCTCACACTGCAGACCGCTGAAACCCTCATACACACATTTATAACATCCAGGCTTAACTATGCAACTCCTTGCTTGTCAGCCTCCCCAACTCCTCCCCCCTCAGGCTGCAGATCATCCAGAAATCGGCAGCCCGTATCCTCTTCTGCACCAGGCTCCGTAACCCTATCACCCCCATCCTCGCCCGACCCTACTGGCTTCCCGTCACACAGAGGATACAGTTCAAGATCCTGGTCCTCATCTTCAAAGCTCTCCATGGCTTTGCTTCCCCCTACCACTGTGACCTCCTAACCCCCCACCAACCTGCCTGCTCTCTCCAATCCACATCCCCTGTAGCAGAAAATGTAATATAAAATATATGGTACTGTAAAAGGTGCACCCCACTTTAGTGGCCAGTGACAACAGATCAGCTATGCCAAGGTATATAATATCACATATTTAGAAGATTCAAAACTTGTAAGAAGGTGCGGCTTATGGACTTTGATTTACACTACTTACAGAAAACAAATGCAGAAAACTGGGAACTGACCTGAAGAAGAAGATTAATCCATGGTCATCTGGCTTGGCCAACATATCAGTCCCAATTGCCAATACATTGGCGGCATCTGAAAAACAGTAAGGGAAAAAATAGGCAACCAACCATTGCTCAGGATTTAAGACTCAAATCTTTAAGTGATGACAAAAGATAATAAATGCTGAACCACACAAAAACGAACCATACAGCAGAACCCCATTATAAGGTCTTTCATTATAATGCAGGTTCAGTGTGGACCCCATCATTTACATACCCATAAAATCCAAAATGCATCTATTAGGTCCATTAGCACTCAGAAAAGCTGGCCGGCCATTTCAGGAAGTTAAAATGGTCGACATCTGGCTCATTAGGTCACTTCCAATGTCACTTTCTGAGCCATTCTTTCGTGTCAACCAGCTTCTTGAAGTGCCATTGATGCTGGCCATCTTTCTGTACGCACTGCCACTACATTTTGCAGTGAATTCACAAAACACAGTACTATAAACATACTTTATAGTATATTCCGTGAAGCATTTTGGGACGTCCTCCTGACATGAATGGAGCTATACGAACTGTAACTATTATTAATTATCCCATGAAGCGGTTAGATGTTACAGATTTTTACATTTAACAGAAAAATTCTAAAGGGCTTTGAGATGGTTTTATTTGGTCAGCTAGATCCCTGACACATGCGGAGGGTATCCAAACCAAAAGGAGTTCCATGCATCCCATCTATGCATCAAAATTCTTAAGGAATGGAATGCATCCTGCTTATCTAATTCCAGGGAGGATTAGGAACAGGCTGCCAAGAGCCCGACTAAAGCAGCATAGCTTACCATTGAATGCACTGTTTGGCAGACTTTCACACTGCTTGTCCAACTAGGATCACTCTACCCATTGGAGCTTTGGTTTGCAGGGTGAACAGGAGCCGAGTGGGAAGAATTCCTGCCCCTCGGGACAGGTCTGCCCCCTCCAAGTCCTACCATTGAACCAGGCTGGCTGAGGTGTCATCAGCAGTGCCCTGGAATACTGTAGACATACCTGGCTCATTAACAGGATTACCCAGACCCCCACAGAGGGTTGACTTGATTCCAACAGTGTGTTGCCAAACATGTCACCTTGGAGATCTTTCTTACATCCTCCAAACCAGGTTGATAATCACTAGTTGGTCACTAGTTGAGACATCGACATGACAAGCTACTATAACAAATACAAGGATTATAATTTTTCTTCTCACCTCTGGGCAGATCGGTTATTTCATTATAACCACTTGATATCAGATCATGGCAGAGATTTTCTAGTTGATATTCATCTGCAGTTGCAAAGGCTGTACATTTCATTAGATCCTGTCCAATAAGATACAAATACAAAGAGTGAGTCATAAATGCATGCTATGATCAATGTAGCACTTCTCTCAATTGAAAAATAAGCTCTAGGTCTCTCTGCACAATAAGAACAAATATAGTTTCACCCCGTTCAAATGCAAACTGAATTTGCCCCAGAATATTACTTGTTTTCTTCCAATACTCTGCTGGCAATAGACTCATGAATGATCTTGTCGGGAAATGAGGCCAGCAGAAGTCAGGGGCGTAATTGTTCCCTACCTGATACCTGCAAACATTTTTTTGTGTCACAATATTATAAAGATCCCATGACTTCAAAAGGGTAAAGAATACCCGGCCAACAGTCCTCCAGTTAAATTGGTCATTCACCTCATGGCTGTTTATATGCTTTTGTTGTGTGCAAAATTACTACTGAATTTGCCTTCAAGAAGTTATTACAATTGACCTGTGAAGCACTTTGAGACAAGATAAGGCACAATAAAAATGACAATTCTTTCTTCTATCAATCAGCTTTTATTTGTGTACACCAACCACATTTGATTGAACAAAATATAGTTAAACCTTATTCTTCCGACGTGTAAGCCTTACCCCATTTTCTCCTGAAAAAACAGCAACTCATATTTCAGAACTACAAGTTCATGTGTGAACAACAGCCCTCCAGTACATTGCCCATATAGAATTTTTTCATGAATGTGACTAAAAGTTGTCAGCAGATGATCTGACTGTGAATTACACTACAATTTTTTTAGAAAAACAAAGAAATAATTTATATAGTATATATATATGTTGTCCAAGTACATATTGCTTAAATGTTCTAATCAGATCAGAGGAAAAAAGGGATTGGAGAAAGGCAATTTGAGAGGATATCTTGCAATTCAAAGAATGAGAACAATTATACTGAGAGTTAAGTAATTGATGTTTGCATTTTGTTATACTCCACATACCAAGGAATATCAAAACAGAACTGCACACTGGAAGGGAAGATTAACCTTTGATCTGACCTAAAAGCCTGCATCAATGACTGATCTAAAACTGTATTTACTTTAGTAGGAAGGTACGAACAGTCATGTTCAGTAAAAATTCCCTTGTAGATCTATATTGTGATTAGTCAGGCTTTCAATGACCCATCAAGAAGCAGGTGTCCTAGTTTTAAGATGAATGAGAAAGACATCTGAAGTAAATTAAATAGTACCTTGTCACTGAACACCTGTGGTCTGATTTATGTAGTTATGCGATAGATGTGTTCATTAGAATAATGAGCTAATCTGATGCTGCTTCACAGACAGTAGATGTAATGATGGGATTGCTGTGATAATGTCCCATGCAATGTACATTGTATATTGTACTTTGGAAGCTTATTTTCTTGAAATAAATTACAAAATGTGTGTTGTATTGTCAGAGGAGCCATCCTTCGGATTAGGCAATATATTGAAGTCCCGTTTGCCTGTTCAGATGAATGCTATAGATCCCTTTGGCATTATTTGAAAAGGGAAGGGAGTTTCTCCCAGTGTCCTGGCCAACAACAAAAACTTGCATTTATATAGCACCCTCCACGCTGGGCAGCGTCCCGGAGCGCTTAACAATGATGGAGCCCGATGCTAGCCAGGGGGAGGGGGAAGGTGACCATGAGCATGGTCAAAGAGGAAGGTCTTGACACAACCTGAAATTGGGGAAAGTGGGGGCAAGGTGAAGGGATTGAAGCTTCGGGGCGTAGTGGCTGAAGGCACGGCTGCCGATGGCGAAGTGGAGGATTCGAGGGAAAAGGAGGAGGCCGGAGCCAGTAGAGTGGAGGCAGCGGTCAGTACTCTGAAGAGAGAGGAGGTTGGAGAGATAGGGGGGTGCCAAGGTGTGGAGGGATTTAAACTCTAGAGTGAAGATCTTCAAGTCGATCCGCTCTGTGACAGGGAGACCGTGGAGTTTAACAAGGACTGGGGTAATTGGGGTGTGGAGTTTAGTACGGGTGAGAATGCGGGCAGCAGATAAGTTGAATTTTGTGAATAGTGGAGGAGAGGAGACCGGCAAGGAGGGCATTAGAGTAGTTCAGCCGAGAGGTGACTAAGGCATAGACAAGGGTTTCGGCACATTGTGGAGTGAGGCATTGCCGGAGACAAGCAATGTGGCGGAGGTGGAAGAAAGCGGTCCTGGCCAGGGTCTGGATGTGGGAGAGGACTGGGGATCGAACTTGATGCCTAAGTTGCGCACGGATTCAGAGTGTTTTAAGTACCGGTTGGGTAGGTTGAAGAGGTCTGAATCAAAGGACAGAAGACGTCGACGAGAGCCAAAGAGTATTTCCGTCTTGTTGATGTTTAACTGCAAGAAATTTGCGCTCATCCAGGCCTTGATGTCTTTCAGACAAGCTGACAGAACATCAGGGGACTGGGAGTTGCAGCTGGAAGAGGAGAAGTAGAGTTGAGTGTCATTCCCATACATGCAGATGACATCACTGAGAAGGAACATATAGATGAGGAAAGAAGGGGGCCAAGGATGGAACCTTGGGGTACTCCGCAGGTGACTGGGGCGGAGGTGAGAAGAAAACCCATTTGCGGAAACGTAGTGCTAGTGGTTTATATGTAGGACTCGAACCAAGCAACTGTGGTCCCACTGAGGTGGATGATGGAGGAAAGGCGGTGGAAGAGGATGGCGTGATCGACTGTGTCGAACGCGGTGGAGAGGTCCAGGAGGATGAGGAGGCAGAGGGAGCCCTGGAGGACATCGTTTGTGACTTTCACGAGCACCGTCTGGTAGAAACCGGACGAGAGGGGTTCGAGTAGGGAGTGGAAGGAGAGGTGTGCACGAAGTTGGTTGGCAACAACGTATTCCAGAGTTTTGGCCACGAAAGGCAGGTTTGAGATAGGGAGGTAGTGCACGAAGTTGGAGGGATCGGGGATAGGCTTTTTAAGGAGGGGGTGATGATAGCAGTTTGGAGGGGGAGTGGGACTGATCCAGATGAGAGGGACTGATTTATTGTGTCTGCCAGCAGTAGGCAGAGGAGTGGAAGCTGGGTGATCAGCAGCTGGGTGGGGAGGGGGTCAAGGCAGCAGATGGTGGGTTTCATCAGGATTATGGAGGATGAGAGGAAGGAAGAAGAGATGGGGAGGGCAAAGGAAAGGAATGTAGGATGGGGGCCGTGGTAGGAGCTGAGAGGGTGCGGGGGGGGGGGGGGGGAGGGTGAAAGAGATGGAATGGAAGGTGGTAGGGGACATGGGGCAGGAGGATCAGGCTGCCGGGTGGCTATTTTCTATTTTAGAGGTAAGCAAGTCCATGACCTCTTTATGACACAAATGTCCACCTACTTTGGAAACAAAGAGGTAATAAAGAGCAATGGGTCAATGTGGACCCACCTGGCTCAAGAACAGGACTACTGAGATCATGACAAGAGGATTGATCTGGTTCTGACCTTCCGAACCACATCAGACCCGGGTTCACTCCTCCTTAAGATTTAAAATTTAACAAGCACAGATTTGAGTCCTCACTAGATGGAATGCAGGGATCAAGAAATCTCCCACTATCTCTCTCCATCGCCAGTGTCAGGGCATGAACACAAAATACATGATAGAATGTATCCTGTTAAGATTGGAGACAGTGATCCAGTCACCTAATACTGTAAAATAAAACCTTTCACTCTCTATAACATGCAAAGTTGCTAACGGCTTTGCTGTGGTCTTTTAAAATCACTGGGGTATAATTCCACCTGGGTCTAGATTTACTGTATTAACGTAGCATTTCATAGCGTACGAATTTGGCAAATTGTGGAATTCAGTCTCAACTTTAAAGCTGTTTTGCTGTAATTCGTAGATTCAAGACATCGACGACGTGGCAAGGTGTAAAGTCAAATGAAGGGATTATTTAATTTATAGAAAACTGATGTCAAAATAAGGCTGCATTTAAGAATATGCCAAATTCTGTATCCTCTGAAATGCTACGTAAATAGAGACAATCTAGACCCAGGTGGAATTTTAACCTTCTGTTTTCTGCTCTTTTGGGTCCTCTCCAACTGTCAGCTACCATTATGCCTCATTCTATATTTCGCCCACAAAATATAGTCAATTCACTTTACAGTATATTCTGTGAAGCGCTTTGAGACATCTCGAAGATGTGATAAGGCACTATATCAAATGCAAGGATTATTATTATTTTTACAGGATAGGGCCTGATGTGCAGTTTTTATTCTCTTCACTCTCTAAACCAGGGAAACAATCTTTTACTGCAGGCTTATACAATCATATTATATTCTCAAATTCAAGTTTAACTTTTTTGTTACCTCTGTATCTGGTGCTGGCTGGTTGGTCCTTGACGGCTGTTTGGTCCGTGGCCCTTTAAGCGTTCTTTTGGCTGGCAGTATTGGTTGTTTGGAGGCCAATATATTGCTGCCTGTTGCACTGGAATAAAATCGTTGCATGATGTCTGCAAGCCATAAAGAATGGAGAGATCTGCCATATAGAGCTTGTACACACACAGTTGTTTGTTTCTGCACTAGATAGTGTGCCGTTGATCGAGAGTCCTGAATTCTCGGACACTGTCCTTCTAGTGTATGACGCAGACCAGTTCTCCAATTGTTTCTTTGCAATCTGATCCAAGGCAGCTGAGTAAATCCAAGAATGGGTCGCAAATAAGGAATTTTTTGCATTAAGTTTGTAGATTCTTCAAAGAGGCTGAGCAATCTAACAGCCATGGTTAATGTATCACCAATCTAAAAGGGGCGGAAATATATACATCACAATAGAATTTTGTTATCTTTCTCAAGATACAGTAATCCTTGCATTTGATTACAGCACCTCTCACGCTAAAACATCACAAAGTGTTGCTGTCAAGTGCAGTGACTGCGTCATGTAAACAAACATAGCAATTAACAAACAGCAAGATCCCACAAGGAACCAATGACAAATGTATCAAGAGGAATGTTGGCCAGAACATTGGGAGAAAATCCCTTCATTTTTCGAAGTATCATAGGATCTTTAATGTCCACCTGAATATGTAGAATGGACCTCATTCTTAATGTTTCAATCAAAGGGCAACACTTCCAACAATGAGGACTCACAGAAATATGGAATGTCATCTTGAACTATGACTTCAAGTCCCACAGTTGAGTTTCAGCTCCACATTGATTAGTTTATGTTTAAATTGAAGTTTGCTGCAATGTAGATTAAGAGAGATATTGTACATAGTTTGAGTTGAAGAATATAGGTTTTTAAATTATATTTTCAGAGTTTCAACTGGACAGAAAAGCTACTGTACGCATTACCATAAATAACAGAAATCAATGTTCTACTGGATTGCTGTCTGTTTATCACCTTGTGATTGTTTGGCACAATGCTTAATGAACGTCATGTTAAAAAAAGTCATACCACAATATTGGCAGGATCGAGTGTATCAGAATGTATGCGTCAATCAGAAGGGTCGTGGACCCGAACCGTTGACCCACTTTCCTTTCTCCATAGATGCTGCCTGATCTGCTGAGTGCTCCCAGCAGTCTCAGTTTTTGTTTCAGATTTCCAGCATTTGCAGTATTTTGCATTTTTTTTAAGACTCATTCAATGTTGGATGGTTTATTTTTCCATAGATTGATTAATGGTTTATTTTTTCCAAACAGCAGAAGGGTAACCACATATAATGCAGTGAAGAGTCATTGTAGTCATGTAGAATTAAAGCAAGCGATAAAGATAAAAATCAAAATAAAAGAGTAACAGACAGAAAATGAGAACTGCATTATGCACAGGTTCAGCTTGTCATATTGTAAAACATGCCTGGCAGTATCTGAAATTATACTGCTGACAACACAACATTTCGACCATTGTTTTTTTAGAAACAAATTTAAATATCTTTTCCCTAAAATAATCTACAAGAAAAACTAATATGGCAATGAGAGAGAGTGGCCCAAATCCGTGGTTGCTTTAAACCGTCAGCCTTCTGATCAGGTGATCACAAATCACAGGCTGGAGTACTGGGATTACTCGTCCCTTCAATCACTGATAGTTTGTTTCTTCAACTCCCGACTTGGCTGCTGGAATGATAACTCACTGTGTAACAGCACTCCCTCTCACAAGCAGGGAAATAGCACACGCACAGCTGGCTATCCCCAACAGAGTGGCAGGGGCTGTTGCCTTGGAGATGACCATGGTCCAGAAAATCCTGTTCTTCCAGTTGAAGGAAACAAACTGCTCGAGTGTCATGGGTGGGGGCGGAGGAGCTGCAGTACGCTAGGAAATAGCTTATTTTTACTGCGGCTTATCACATCAAAATGCCTCAAATTACTTTACAGTAATTACAAATCAAATGGTGATGTCTTTTTGTAGACAAATGATCTAAGCATGCAGCTAATCACCCACAAAGGATTTACCACTTCGTTCTCAGTAAATCACAATCACTTTGTTGTGGCACTATAATTGGTGCTTTGTATTTTCATTCCTCAGGTCAAACTATTTTAAAGCAGGAGCCTAAAAAGTCAAATAAAAAAGGAAAAACAATTAACTTGTAAATTCTAGATTCCGAATTAGGTATTACAATCAAAACTGCTGACACACAACAAGAACTTGCATTTATATATTGCCCTATTGCAATAGGAGCGCTTAGCAGATTCAGCAACTGAACCATGTCACTAATCTACCAACATTATAAAAGCTGAACAGATGAACCCACTCATATGCACTGGAAGTTTGCACAAAAAAAAACTTATTTTTGTAAGTTTCCTATGTTGAAGTGCAATGCAGTGAACATAATTTGATGCATTATAATCAATGATTTCTTCAACTAGTTACACTCCCATTCTATTTATCAGATGTTCATTTTCATTCTTGAAATTCTCTTCCAGTAATTCAATAAACCACAAATTGATACAAATGCTATAATGACACTATATTCATTAAAGTCATTTACTGAGTGAATGGCTCATATACTATGCTGTTGTTCTCTATTTATGTACCTATTCTAACATGGCGAAACCTATTCTAACATAGGCTCCTGCTTCAAAATAGTTTGACCTGAGGAATGAAAATACAAAGCTACTACCAGATAATTTATGGAAAAAAAATAAACTGCACCAGACTACAAACAATCACATATGACATTGCAGTACAAGTTGCATAAATAAAACATGGTACAGGTTATTGTTGAACTCATAGTTCTATTTATCTAATGCACTTTATTGTTTATTCATTACGACATCTTTACAAGTGGATAAACACTTTATTTTAAAAATCCCATTGTATTCAATTTCCTATGTCACATTCTGTGTATATATAAGATCGAAAACAGTTTCCCTTCTCACCTCTACAATCCCTTCCCTAAATGACTTTCCAGATAGCAATATGTCAGGATCTATGACCCAACAAAATCCGTCTGATAACCTTCTTCCTGAGCAGCAACATTCCAACCGTGTAATGCTCACTAAGCACAGTGCCTTGATAACATAGTCAATGTCTGATCAGGACTTTCTGTGTCCATCTAAAATGTCAATCATCTCAGCTTTCAAAATCCAATGGTCCTTGCCGCAGAATATTAAGTGCGCCTCAAAACACAAACAGCAGCAAAATCTCCACAGGTATTAGTGCACAGAAGACGAACTGAAAAGGCAAATATGTTCAGAGAATCAAGGCAGATTGATATTACTCTAATGCATTGTAGGGAACAATTAAATAACATCTTCATGCACACACAGACTGCAACCATCTCTTTTAAATATTAAAAGCGTGTTTTCGTTCAAACACTCTGGATTGAAAAAAATGTCAACGTTTTAATTTGTAACGGAAGAGATTACGTGTTCTCCTTTTGTACAGTTTGACCTAATTAGGATTAGCCCGATGGTAATAGTTAGTGTAAACTCAAATTATGTTCTACCCCACACAACCAGATTGTGTAAAAGTCAAACTAAATAGTAATGTTATTTGTCATATAAACAACAATCTAACTGAGGTTGTCAATCAGAACACCTCATACTGACAAACACATTTGCTAAATTAGCTGCAGGATATTTGAACTATGATCATGAGAATTGATAAAGCGTTCTGCAGATGAATGAACTTGGTGAAGTCTTACACTTTGTGATATTTCTTCTTCCTCTATCTTGTTGGATGAAATTTGGATGCTCACATATTTAAAGACTCATAGATCTAAAACTTGTAGTGGGTGCACTTAGGGGATAATGTTATTAAGGGTCAATCATAGATTCTTTGAATGTTCCCAATTATAACAGGGCAGATTCACTGTTCCTCCATATAAAATGTTCTCATTAAATTAGGTGCCTGATGCCTTAACCCATACGATCTCTTCATAGTATGTGTGGCAGATTGTGCTATTCAAGCTCAATATACTTAAACCTTCTGATACATCCAAAATGTGTGCAATTTGAAAAGAGAAAAATAATCAAGAACAAAAGAATATGTACAACTTGAAAAAGGCAAGCAGGTCATCAAGCTGATTCTGCCACAGCTCTTTGACAATCACCCCATTCTTACTACCCTGCCCCTCCCACATACATATTAAACTGCAAATTTAGAGGATCCTATGCACCTAAATTTCTACCTCCTCATCTGAAGGATACACCTACAATAAAGCAACAGCCCCCATTACTGCACTGAGTTCTGTTTGATTGTAAACTGCTCTTGATCCCACAATCTATTGACCCAGAGGTGAGAATGCTTCCGATTGAGCCAAGCTGACAGCCAGATGAGTGAAAATAATGGGCCCTGAACAGACAGAGTGAGCAAGATGGACTACACAACATTTTCTTGTTCCTTTACCAGCTATCATTGTGGCCTTGGAAATAAGATTGCCAATTAATGCCAAATCAAAGTCACTTTTTTATTTGTGGACACGTGCCCTCTTGAAACCAGATAAGATCAACCTAACCAAATCTACAATTGATCCTTATAACACATAAGGGGAAACCATCATCCCAAAATCTGGTGTAGAATCACTAAAGGTGAAAGAGCAATGCGTTGCTGCTTCACCGCTTCACCACCTTGTCCACATACCTACTGCTCAAAGGTAAAGATACTTACAAAAATATATTTTATCTAAAGGAATTATGCATTTGGTCTCAAAAGCAATTACGCCTACCTTTATGCAAGTATGCATTTGTTCTCAAAAGCAATCAGACCAACTGAAATAACAGATATGTCTGTGATCCCTACGCATCTCAGAATGCACTGTGATATGTGGATCAAGCTGCTGATGGATGAGAATATGCAGCTGCACTCTGCTCTTCTTCCCACCTGAAAAATAGTAGCGCTGGAAGGTTGAAGTGCTTGATATTTTTCATTACATATTGTTATTTGACAAATCACTGCTGACAAAAAGGCAACATCAACAATTCCATCACCAATTATATAAAAAAGAAAGGATCACGAGGTGCTCCTCCAATCCCCTGAACAACAGAATCAACAATATTATTCCTTGCAAGATAAAAGTTGAGTATGTAGTTTGGATTACCGAGACCTGAAATTCTTCATGACCTTAGCCTTAAGTCCATTATCTTATAATTTAACGGCGTGCAGAGTTTTGCAATAATCTTTGTCATAATTTGTAAGCTACCCTTCATTTTAAGAACTCTGGAAAACCATCTCCAAAACTTAAACAAAGTTTATATTTTTTCCAAAACTCTGCACAATTTTAACTTTTAAGACAAGAACTCAAGCCTAAGATTATGACATATTTCAGCCCTATTGGAGAGAGGTGACTCAAGGCCACAAATCT